GATGAGGAAGAGTAGAGTGTGATTCTCTCAGCAGTTCACCCAGATGTAAGTTATGCAGGGAAGGGGTGGGATGGACAGGAAGGAAGCCCTGTGATTGGAACACTCAGTGCCGTGGCTGGGAGAGGGATCATCAGTGAGGCTGGAGGAGCTTGGAGCTCCCCCTTGTGCTCTCTGGGATCTCCCTGAATTCAGTTCAGAAACATGGATCTGAAAGTTACTGGAAAATCAGCAGATGAGACACCCTCTGTTCCTCTGTACCCCAGTTTTTTAGAGGTAATCCATTTTCCATGGCTAAACAGACTCAAAGACTGCTTACTCCAATAGACTAGAACGCTAGGCTTCTTTTGACATCAAAACATTATGTAAAGACACCCTGACAAAGCATGGTACAATGTCTAATTTACTTCTTTTTAAGGTCAACTTGGGTTCAATACTATCAGAAAAATATATACACACATATTACCTACAACAAGCATAATGATATATTTATTTGTAAACACAATATGGCCAACTTGTTAATTATTTTTGACATAATTAATTGAAAGTTGTCATTGATAAATGTCATAACTAGAAAGTATTGTTAATTGTTATTGTTACAAAGCATGGTACAATGTCTAATTTACTTCTTTTTAAAGTCAACTTGGGTTCAATACTATCTGAAAAATATATACACACATATACCTACAACAAGCATAATGTTATATTTATTTGTAAACAGAATATGGCCAACTTGTTAATTATTTTTGACCTAATTAATTGAAAGTTGTCATTAATAGATGTCATAACTAGAAAGTATTGTTAATTCTTATTGTCATCAATATATAGCCATTATTCAGTAGCTGAAGAATATCCTTATGTGAATGCCTGTAATTGGAATTACAATTTGACTGTGTTAAATAACCAAAACCCTGCTTATAAGGTTTGTCTGTAACTTGTTTCATAATTGAAAATGCAACTATATTCAAGTTAATGTAACATTGATCTCTGACAAAAAAAAATATGCTAGCATTAAAAAAAAATCTATGTGGCATCATAGTAGACACCTGTCATTAATTATGATTTGATTTTAAAGTGGATTTTCTAGACAGTGCATATATTCAGTTTATTGATAATTATTTACTTATCTGACATAGATTTGTACATATTGGCTATTTAAACATTATATCTATTCCCAGACCTTTTTAAAAACATGTTTATTGATTTTTAGAGAGAGAAAGGGAGAGAGAGGGAGAGAGAGAGAGAGAACAAGAAACATCGATTTGTTGCCTCCCATATTCGCCCCAACCAGAGAGTTTGGGACCAAACCTGCAACCTAGGAATGTGCCCTGACCTGAAATCGAACCCTCAACCTTTTGGTGTATGGGGTCAGGCTCCAACCAACTGAACCATACCGGCCAGGGCTATTCCCAAAACACTTTAAAAATCTATCTTATGAAGTAATTCTTCCAACAGTGAACTAAAGCAATCTCAAGTATTTTGCCCCAAAACAGAGTTTTTAAAAGCTGTCTACATGACCAGTTAAAATAATACCAGCTCCATGTATTATAAGTAGTTGAATTCTTCTGCTGTACAGATACGCTGATTAGCACAGTCATTGAATAAAGGCCCCCATACCCAGTTTGCTGTAACTTTCTATCTCTCTTTGCAATCCTTTTTATTTCTGGTGCGTGCGTGCGTGTGTGTGTGTGTGTGTGTGTGTGTGTGTGTGTGTGTGTGTGTGTGTTGTTGTTGTTGTTGTTGTTTTTCAACACTGAAATGAACAAATGATCAAGGATCAACATTTTTCACATTGTGTGGCTTGGATTTTAAAGTTGGGAAATATCTGCCTCCCATGCATGCACTACCTCACATCCAGGTCGGACTTTGAAGCCACTTTTAGCACAGTTCCAGTTGCTCTTCCCCTTCTTGCCTCTCTATCCTCGCCCAGCTGTGGCTATCCGGGCATTGTTTACATATATAACCTCCAGTGTGGTTTCTCAATTACTCTTTGTTTCCCTGGTTTCCCCAGGCGATACCTCCTCTCCTCCCACACCACCATTGGGATCATGAGAGGGAAGAGAAGGTGAAGAGGCCCTGACTTTAAAATAAGCTTCCAATTCACATTTCGTTCTTTACCTGGTTATGGGAAATGAAAGTCTATATCCTATCAACCTTGAGTTACATTATTCTACTTCGACCTCAGGAGAAAGGGAAGTTGAGAATGTAGCCTGTTTAGTCTCCTGATTCTGGACTCTAAGTTCCTTTAGGAAGAGCTTATTTCTGTTTTTGATTTGATCTTTACAACTGCCATGTGAAGCAGGCAATTGTATTACCTGGTTATGGGAAATGAAAGTCTATATCCTATCATCCTTGAGTTACATTATTCTACTTCGGCCTCAGGAGAAAGGGAGTTGAGAATGAGCCTGTTTAGCCTCCTGATTCTGGACTGTAAGTTCCTTTAGGAAGAGTTCATTTCTGTTTTGCTTTGATCTTTACAACTGCCATATGAAGTAGGCAATTGTGTCTCCCATATTACTTCATAGAAAGTTAGGCTCATCCTATGAAGCCTCTTGGGACCCTCCCCGCCTCCCCCCATCTGGCCAGTTCCTTTTCTTAGTGCCCCTGTGGCCTGGAAAACGATTAGTATTGCACTTGTAATATTTTATATTCTCGTCTATGTGTGTAAAACCAGCTCTGTTAACCCTAACTCTTACCATGGAAGGAAGTGTGGCACAACGCAGAAGAAAATGTCTTGCTGTCAGCTGGTCAAGCACACGCAAACTACTTTCTATAGTTCCTGTCCTCCACCTGCTGAATACCTACATTCTTTAAAAGCATCGTTTTTGTACCTCTTTCTCCCAATAAGACTATGCATTTATGCACCTACTGTGTATTGGGCCCTGTGCTAGACACAGAATCATCTAAAAGTCCTATTTGCTCCTCATCACCAGGATTTGTTCATCTTGGGGAAAAGACAATAAATTATCAGGACAAGGGGAAGGAATTAAGTGGCAGCAGCTGTCTGAACAGAGGGTCTGGTGTCAGGTAGAAACTGATGCTGACACAATGCCACTCAAAACCAGGTGTTTGCAAATCAGTTAATTTCCATGTGTACTCTCATTTGTACTCATTTCTAATCAGAGGACTCTTCTTTCATTTTGTAAAAAGCACTTGAATTGGAAAGTTTCATATTATGAACATATTTTATTATATAGCTCATAAGTGACCCAACCAATTACCAATCAAGAGTATCATCTGAATACATACAGTATGTCACTTTACCAGAGATATATTTTTATGGTTATTTAATAGTGAAACTCCTTTTTAATCATGAGATCTTTCTGGTAATTCAGCAAAAGAGCTTAGTATCATAATACAAGTCCATCTCATATTTTTCTGATCTTCCATGCAGACCTTACAAATTGCTCTGCAGACACTGAGTTAACTGGCATCCATGGGGCATTATTCAAGGGTTGGGCTTTAATTTATTGCCCTTTTTTTCTGAACATCTACATAAGGTGAGCTTGCAACTGTCTTCCATTTTGGCCTGATTTGTTGTTTTATCTACTGTTCTACTTTTTCCTAACAATGGGGCAATGGATTATGGTTGTTAGCTCATCTTGAACTATCTGACCCACCATCCTTGTTATTCTTCCCCTGTTGCTATCAACATTATAGCACTGAGAAAACCAAAATGTTTTTAGAGCCTCAATTGACCTAGACCAACTGAGATACCAACCAAGGTATTCACTGTGATGTAAATAATACTCAGTAACAACACTCGGTTGTGAAAAAAACAATCCAAGAGTGAGTGTAGGTTTGTTTTTGCCAATTTAGATTTAGTTTCATTTAACACATAAAGATGCTTAATTACATTCAACAAGGTCTCTATGCACAGCATGACTGTGTTAGAGACACTGTCCTTGTTATAGACTATAAGTTTTATTTTTAAAAGATATTTAAAAATGTTGTCCTTTGTAAGGCACTATTATGTAGCAGGTGCTTTATACATGTTATCTTATTTAAATGTCTAAAAGAATTTTAAACAAAACATTACCAATGAAAGTTAAATCTTTAAATATTGGTATATTTATTCATTTGGATTTAAAAAATTATCATCTGTGATTGATTGACCAAGTTTTCAAATAAGCTTTCCTTTTAAACAATAAGAAAATTGTTATAGTCAGATGCTACAGTACAGGTGGTAACATCTTTCTATCATTAATTTGAGAAGTGTCCTTGTAAATATGCATGAATATGTATCAATATCTGGGTTTAGGATAACTACTTTATTATGGGTTTTGATTGCCTGCAAAGCTAGATATAAATTCATGTTTTTGACTCATGTGAAAATGAAAATAATCATTAAACAACAAGTTATTTAAAATATGTAGGTAGTGCACATTCATGGCTGAGAACAGAATCTTGGGTGGGGGAGGGATGAGGACCTGTTTGGTAAGTATGGAAGCTGTATAAATAATAAGCAAAGGCTTACGGTGCTGATAATTTAAAAAACACTAGTAAAAATTGTTATTGCTTAAATTTACCATTTAAAAAACACTTCCAGTCCCTCTCCTTTAATTAACCCTCTTCCTCATGTCTAAATTTACTGGAGGGAAAGGAGTTTAAGAAAATAACTTGGCTTTTATTTTAAATGATAAAATCGCTATTCACGTCATCTCCACTTTTTAGGCAGAGAATAAATCCCACTGTGATTCTTAGAAGAAGG